AACAAGGCAATAAACAAAATGAGAAAAAAAAATTATAATAAAATACTGAACATTCTCGTACTTATTCGTGAATCTTTTTATAAATACGAGTCACGAATATTGCTCTCTTAGTTTTCGTCTAAAATAATTTCTAACTGCAGTCTTTTTTTTTTCTTCCCCCTTCTAACTGATATCTTAAACTGAACGAATTCGACTTCCCACATCAAAATATCTGCTGACCACGGAATGATGACCCCTACTTAAGACACCGATAATAAATACCAGCCACGAATATTGCTCTTTAGTTATCGTCTAAAATAATTTCTAACTGCAGTCTTTTTTTTTCCTTCCCCTTCTAACTGATATATTAAACTGAACGAATTCGACTTCCCACATCAAAATATCTGCTGACCACGAAATGATACTTAAGACACCGATAATAAGTTTTTATTACTGCATTTTGAGAATTCTAATTGCTCTTTAAAAAATAATAATACTAAAAAAAAATTAAATTTTTTTTAATTTGTCGCAATAAATTGTTTGATTTCAAAAATCAGATTCGAAAATTTTACTCCCCGACTGTATGAGAAATCATTTTTATTCAAATTGAATTAACCTGATAATTAAAGTAGACTTAAAGGAAAAATAATAAATGAACTAAATATATTTAAAAAAAATTATTTTTAACCCTTTGACGCAGAATTTTTATTAAACATATTTTTCAATATTTTCTATTAATTCAGTTAAGTAAATTCAAAATTAGAAATAGGAATTACATCGACATTTGAAGTTAATGAAATCATTAATAAAATTTAGAGATTACAGTAAAACAATACGATATATTTGTATTACTTTCATACTAAGTTTGCTTTTAGCAGATGAGTAAATGCAATCATATATTTTTATTATTTGGGTTTGTAGGCGAAGTATTTTTAGAAGTATAATGGACAACAATTGCAAACAAATCTAATATTTTCATAGAAATATCACAATAATTATTCTTATGCTATAACTAATTTAGATATCATTGAATTTTGATTTCCAGGTAAATAAAGGCACATATTAACAAAAAATAATAAATTTTTCAAAGATAGTTTTTGCTTCTTTTTTTTTTTAATAAAAGCTTTTTTAATAAAAGTTCTTTTGTTTTTACATAACTCAATAACTAACTTATTTGGAAACATTTTAGTACATTTTCGGATAAGTTGATTTACGTTTATATTGAAAAGAAGCATATATGAGTGAAATTTCAAACTAAATATTTACTAAAAGCGTGTTTTCTACTCTCTTGGTCTATAAATTCAATTTCCAATCAATTTAGTTTAAGTAATCTGATCATTGGGTTGGCCATAGAAGATTTTCGTAGTTTTTTTTTTATTATCCTCAATGTAAAGTAAATACGCGTTAGTTCCATAGAACAAGTTTTTTAATAAAATGCTCTTGAGGCTCGATGGTTCAGGGGATAGAGTGAGTGATCGCCTTCCAATGAGGCGAACTGAGTAGATACGAATTCCGCATCCGGCTTGCATCGACCACAGTGTTGACGTGAAATATCCTCAGTGGTAGACGGATCATTGGTTAGAGTCCCCTTGCCGGCAGGCTAACCGTGGAAGGTTCTCGTGGTCTTCCTCTCCATGTAACGCAAATGCGAGCTGGCTCCATCAAAAAGTACTCCACGAAGGCAAATTTCTCCCAATACTCGATCCAGGAGTTCCCTTGTCTTCTGCATTGGGTTCAAAATTACAAGGTTACGGAGATTAGTAGTCGTAAACCCATAAAATTGGGTCGGCTGTACAACATAAAATAAAATAAAAACTTTCCTTTTGTTTGTTGCTTGATCTAGGAGTTACTCTATCTTTTAGGGCAGTGTTTCCCAAACTTATGACTTTTGTGTACCCTTTCTAAATTTTTCGTAACGCTGTGTACCACTATTAAAAAAATGAATGTATTTTTTACTATAAAAAAATTGCACAAAAGTTAAAACTCACAACTAGCTGTTGGCACCACTAATTACTAACTGTTAACTCTGCAAAAAATAGCCAATAGAAAAATACGCAATCGTAAAATTTCAGGACTAACATTGTATTTAAACAAAAAAGTTTGAAATTTTCGTTTGTTGCAATAAGATATTTCGCCTAAGAACGCGTACCCCCGCTAAACTGTTCCCGTACCCTTAGGGGTACGCGTACCACACTTTGGGAAGCACTGTTTTAGGGGTTCAAAATTACTTGGATACGGATATTGAATCATAAACATTGAAGAAAGCAAATGTGATCGGTGCCCTGAACAGTCAGTTAATTAAATCAAAATTTTACTGTGTACCTGGGACCGGCTTGGTTACAAATCCTTTCTGTACAATTCCTCTCTGTTTCCTCTCGCAATCTATATTTTTGTTTATTACTCCTGCTTTCCTGTATCGTGATTTCGAAATAATTTTCGTTATTTTTTCTCCCTCAAATTAAATACTATTTTGCGATCCCCAATGTGTTTGATTTTTGTTTCCCCTTTCGATAAAAATTCTTTAAAAAAATGCAGTACTACCGTCTTTAACGGAACTGTCTATTTTTTTGTTAATTTCATGCAGTGAAATTATCAAAAGAAAACAATGAAAAAGTGCATGAAAGATATTATTAACTCCAAATAAAGTATTCTAAATATTATTGAGTGTCAAATGTAAAAGGAAAAGCTTACAAGAAACATTCTAACGAGCTATGCAAAAAAAAAAAAAAAAAAAAAAAAAAAAAAAAAAAAAAAAAAAAAAAAAAAAAAANAAGAAAAAAATCTCTTGAAAACTTCCTTGTGTCCCCTTAAGTGTAAAATTTGCCTGTAAAAAGATGAGTATTATTAATTTTTGTATGAAAAAATATTAAATTTCAAAAGGGGGAGGGATATGCAGACTCTTGAATTGCAAGTTTACTTTTAGATGCACTACATCTTATTTATCTTTAGCAAAAATATCTGAAAAATTTTCTAAAATTTCCTGAAGTTGGGAATTTTTTTCATCATCTTGAATTTGCATAATTCTATCAACATGACTTTGACAATGTTGCGCACCATTATCACATTCAGTCTCAAGAACATTTGAAATCTCAAGATTATTTTCAGTTTTGCTATTTAAATCTTTATTTTTAAGTCTTCTTTTTGTTTTATTTTTCTTTAAATTCTCTTTGTTTACATTTGTATTTTTGTTTATTTTCATATCCAAAATTTTGTTTTCTTTAACAATTTCATTTTGTTTATTATTATTTGATTTAGCATTCTTTCTTTTTTTTTTTTACATTCCTTATTTTTATTCTTAGCTTTATTTTCTTTATTGGTATTTTTGTTGCAATCATTAACCTGGATTTCAGGAGAGATGTGTAAAGACAAGTTGCTTTTATAATCGGAAAAAGTGATCAGTTTTCTCCGATTTTGCATTACAACTAGTTTAACACAATCAATCACAAATTTAAACCCGTTACATTCCTTTAAACCCAGTATGGCATAAGGTAGTTTAGTACTTAAAATATAAAATTCCACTGACCTAGCTATATCTCCAATTTTTAAGTTTAAAGTACAGGTTTGGTTAAGTTGCAAAATACCTTTTGTTTGCTTTACATTAACAAAGTTTTTTCTTTCTTTTTGGACATTAAGTTTTTCAAAAACTTTAGTTGGGATGATATTTAGAGTACTACCTGTATCAATATTTAACAGGATAGTTTTATTTGTCAAAATTGGGTTTTTGTCACTTTTATTGTTTTCATTTTTATTTTGTACATATCCAGCTACTATTAATTGACAATTTTGAGATTGGTCACCTTCTTGTTTAGGCTGAGTTTGATTCTCAGCCGTAAAAATATTAGGTTTGTTTATACAGTTTTGGCCCCAATGATAAGCATTGGTTATACCAAGCTTATCACAGTATTTACATGGCTTAGGAGGCAACTCCTGGGAAGCCTGGGCGAAATGACTTGTTTGTTGTATAGTTTTATGAAACTTTTCATTTTGAATTCTAGGTCTAAATTGGGATTGTTGGTTATAACTTTGACTAGGCCGGGAAAGTTTTTGATTTTGTTGAGGATTATAATTTGGATTACCTGAGTTGTTAATGAATGGTCGCCTTGGTATTGTGGTCTATACCCATTAAATTTGGACTCTGATAATTTTTGTTCAGTTTCAGTTTAGGGTAAGACCGTAGGTACATCATGTATTATTTTCGAAACAATTGTGAACCATTCAATCGGGGTTTTGGGTTCCTTTAAAACCAAAACCGGGCAGTGGCACTTAACTAGACCTAGTATATATTTCAGACATTTACCAAAGCGACTATGTGATTGTCAACATTCATCAATGGAAGTCAACAACCACCAATTTCGGTCATTGGGGTGTAACTATTTAATTATTGTGCATTATTTATAAGCAGGGTCATCATGATTTGAATCTCTTGTTGTTTTTTTTAGATAAAAATCATTGATTAAATGATCGATTTTTTTAAAAAAAAAAGAAGTCGTTGGTCAAGTTGAAAATATTTTATATATGGCATAATTCTTAAATATATATTCTTTAGTCGGAATTTTTTTCCTAATCCAATTTCATTGAAGGTTTTATCCAGGCCAATCATGAGGAAGGGATGTATGCATATAATTATTTAATATTCAATATAAATCAATAGATAAAAAAAAGACAAAAGTGACTGGAATTATTTTTATTATTTTTTTTAACTGTATGTAAAATGATTTGCTGTTTAATAAATATATTTAAAATTTATTTAGTTTTATGTTTATTTAAGTTGAAGTAATTTCTAAATTTATTTAGAATGTAATTTGTATATATAAATAATGAAGAAAAGCCTATTCTGTCAAGCGAAATCAAGAATAATTTATGTTTCCTGATCTAAATTAATTTATTCTTCATTTGATATCAAACTGACAAATTGGGTTATTGTCTTTACTAGTTTATGAGAGTGTTGAACTTGAATAAAAATAACTGTAATTTTATTTATTCAGTTATAAGTTTATAATAATATTTACTATTTTATTTAGAAATCTTAAGCCTTCCCCTCATAATAAGGTGTGCCCGGATGCGAATTCCGCTCCCATTAAAAATATTTCAGATAAATAAAAATCTAATTAACAACTAGTAAAAAAAAAATTAAATTTCTAAAAGGAAAAAGAGAAAGAAATCGTCTTATTCCTTAAAACAAAACTTTTGTGTTAAAAGTATTTTTCAGAAAAAGTATCCTTAAAACATTAAAAAAGATATAGTCTATCAGACAGACTTTTGAAAATGCCACACTATCATAAAAACGCCCATTAAAAAAATATCTACAAAAAAGCGAAACAGAAAAAATAAAAATCGATCTTAATTTTCGAAAGAAAATTTTAAGGCTGCACATCTCAGTTTTCCAAATACCATACTTTCAAGAAAAGGTAAAGAGGAAGAAGAATCTCTAATAGAAACCTTAATTGCCACATCATAATAAAAAAGATAGACAAAAACAAATGTTCTTTAAAAAAGAAAACTAGATAGAAACCAAAACAAAATTCTTTCTGGATTAAGCTAAAAAATTTAACGAAGTCTCAATTTAACTTTTTCACCATGCCGTATTAGAAAAAAAAAAGTGACGCAAGAGTAACTTTTATTAGAAACGCTCTCTAAAAACGCTGTTTCAAGGAAAAGTTAATTAAAAAAAAAAGCAAAAGAGAAACAGAATTTTTTTAAAAGTTTTTTTCTATTTGTCTTTCAGAACATAAATTTGCAGGTTAAAACCTGCAAATTTATGTTCTGTCTCTCTCTATATTTAACTTCTTAAATATGCCAAAATGTGTCATTAATGTATTTAAATAATAAACATTTGTTCTGCCAAGAGAAATATACATGCTGATAAATTAATTCTGAGGTTTGCAAGCTAGTGAAAAACTGTCAATATTCCAATATCAGGAAAATGTAAACATTGAACTTATTCCCCTGTAAAAAGTTTTATCACTTTAAAAAGCAATTTTATATTTTCACTGTGACTAGATAGAGTTCTTGAAGAAACCTTTAAGAATAAAATTAGCTGTATAATTTTCCTGGGTAATATAAAAATAGTTATTGATAAATTATTAATGTTGCTATATTAGTTAATTTATTTAGAAAGCTATTTCTAGCATGAAGAAGAATAAATTATGAAATAATTAAAAAAAAATGATTTATAAATTTGTTATAAGTATAAATATACTGTATTCATTTTATTTTAACGTATTCAATGGTGTTGAGTCAATAGCTTGTAAAATAATGCCACCCGCGTGTTGGTCAACTGATGCTGGCATTATTAACCATTCCTCACAGCTATGCAACCTGTGACAGAATATTAAGCCAAGTAACCAAATTTCAGACTTGATTCTGCTTTTCTTTTTCGAAACAAATTTTTATGGTTTGTTGACTAGGAAGACTAACCAGAAAGAGTTTCAGAAAAGCTTTTGTATGATGTTTTTAAAAAATGCTAAATCAGTCTGTTTTAAAGCAATAGATTAATTTATTTTGTAATTTTTAAGGGTAAAAAAAAAAATTTAAAAGTAATTCAAATAATGTGTGAATTTATTTTTTTAAAAATTTTATCATTGTTTTGCTCATTAGGCTTTCTCATGGTCATAAAAACTATCAGACTTTTTGATTTTCTAGAGTTGGATGGTCTGTTTTTTATACAATGTGTAAAAAAATTATTGGCATCAAAAGCTGCCTCCTACCATTACAACTTAATTTAATTTATAGTATAACATAAAAATGATTTGTAGTGTTACTGAAATTTAATTTTTTCTCCTTTGCAGTTATCGCAATAATGCCTAAAAAGATAATGAATCAAAAAATGACAAGTAAATGCACTTGCTGCCCCTATGGATTCCACATTGATCTTGACTTTGTCCGATTTTGCGATACACTTTACAATACTGCCCAGCTCGACAAATTACGACAGCAAAGACGAGAACGAAGAAAAGAAAAGAAATCTGTGGAATCCTATTTGGGAATAGGGAATTTAGCTTTTCACACTAAAGAAAACAATCAAGTAAGTTTAATAAACTTTTTCATTATTGTAAAGCAAGTTTTTTCATTATTGTATATATTTTTTATTAATGCTGTTGTATAATTGTTGATGTTTGTTGAATTTTTATTCACACATGAAAAACTACTTTTAAATGAATCTTTAATTACACTAAATTCTTCAATAAATCAATCATTTCCTAATACAAAAGATCATTAAATCTAATTTTAAAATAAGAATGTTCCATTTAATTACGAATTTTGGCATATTTGAAAAATGTTATCAATTTTGATGCCTGAGTAAGTTGGTAGACATGAAGCTTTAGCTATCTAGTAAAGCGCCTTCATCGGAAAAAGAAAGAAACTCTATGTCACGTCTATGCAATCTGTTTTTTTTTTTTTTATATAAAAAAAATGTTACAAAGGCTGATATCTTTGGTATTTAAAGTGCCCATTTTTTTTCTCTTTAACTTCTGTAATTTTAATCAAGAATGCTTTTTTTCTTTCAAAGCTACTTTTTAGAAATTAAATATTTTTTTGAACTTTTGTTTACAATGATTTGATGTTTTTATTTTTAGAGGTGGCATTTATTTTGGATTTGTTTAAGTGGTATTGAATGTTTAGGGTATAAATATATATTTATTTTGAAATTTTTAAACTCTTTAGGGGTGTTCACCTTGCTGCCCAGTAACTGTTAATGGTACTGCAAGAGCTTCATAACACAATGAAATATTTATATATATTTTTGAAAAATAAAAAAATGCCGGAAATTTTGAATTACACATTTGAGTAATCAATCTTTAAGGCGCTCAATTTTGACAGATTTTATTGTAAGTCTATGTCGTTTCTCGATAGCTTTTTCTACGGTTAAGCTTTATCAACGGTTATTGTTTTGAAATTCTGCATGTTTAAAAAAAAAAAATTTATACGCGAATTTTGAATTTGAGTAATTACTTTTGACTAGTTCTTTTTTCTTTCCGATTTCATCAAAAACCCAAGTGAGGTTTCGATCGTTTTCTTCCGTCATAAATAACTTCAAATTTCCATGTAGTTTGTAAAATCCCGATACATTTATGTTATTGTGACTCTCACCGTAACAGAATTGTGGCGACACGGCGACATTGTCGTTGAACGTTACCGAGTTCTTGCAGAAAGATTTTTCTTTTGGGAAGTAAAAAGTTATTATTTTTTTCTGCAGAAATTTTGGTTAGACTTTATCTTTTCTACAGAACTATATTCAAACGATGCCTTTCTTGCACATCCGAGGGGAAACAATTGCCTGTGATTTTTCGATTCTCATTTGAGAATAATGAAAAATAAAGAATAATGAAGCAAAAATTAGGTTTTCTTTTCTGCAGAAATTTTCGTTCTAATTTTTTTATGCAGCTATTACTATTGATTTCCACATAGTTATTAAAATCCAATATTTTTAATACGATAATATTTCTTACAACAACTGAATCTCGGTTACTGCTACGGTTTTAACGATTTTTTTTAATTATTTTGTTTATTGTGATGATGATTTACAGAATGCGCAAAAGGAAATAAAGAGCGTTTTCCCCCTTCAAAATGCGAGAATATCACCCATAATATTAGAATAAAAAAAATTACGTATTCAATTAAAAAAATTATTTCATTTAATCCAAAAGTTTTTTTTTTTCTGGTAGTTGACGATTTTGTTACTTTAATTTAGTAACATGAATATTTGTTATTTTTTAAAGTATCTTGCTGAAATATTTTAGTATTAGAGAGGTATGTCGCAGAAAGCTCGAAAAAATTAGGTCACAGGGGTGACGCGTTGAATCGCGCATTTAGTTTATCACTTTTTGACGTGCTTTATTTGTGCTGATTTAATCGTAAATCTATTTAACTTTTTTTTTTCTTTTTGTAAAGGCAGTTATTGCTACGCCTTTCTACGTGATTTTGAAAACCTCGTATTTTTACTACGATAATATTACGACACGTGAGATTCAAATCAAACATTTAAGTAATCACTTTTTGACGCGCTTTGTTCGTACCGATTTCATCATAGTCCAAGTTATTTTTCAGGAATATTTCATCAGTTCTTGCTATGCATTCCGAGTGGTTTTAGAAATTCTGATTTTTGTTACGACATTCAAATTTTAAATCACGCATTTAAATAAGTACTTATTGACGTGCTTCATTCGACAGGTTCCATCCTAAATTTAAGCGATTTTTCTATATTTTTTACAATTATTGCGATGCTTTTCCATGTGATTTTAACGATTCCGTTATTTTAATTACGATGTTATTACAACAGGCGTTACTTTCTAATCGTGCATTTAAATAATCATTTTTTGATAGAATTTATTTGTGCATATTTCATTGTAAATATAAGCTTTTTCTTTCGATTTTTCGAAGGTTAGCTCATTGTATTTATGTCTCTATATTTTAATTCAATGTTATAGCAACAGGAAAATTTTGAAAAGGAATGAAAACGTGAACTTTTAACCTGCCCACAGTTTGCAATTTTGTTTTAAATCTTTTGTAGCTTATGTGATTTTTTGGAAAAAACAAAAAAGAAAACGTTTCCTGATTACAATTCATAAAACCTATAATAATTTAAAAAATTAAAGTAATGAATGGAGTATAATGCCAAATGAATATTGAATCTTATTTTGTACTATAATTGTTTTGTTTTAATTTTTGGTTTCGGTTTAAACCCTATAATTTTCTTTAATTAAAATGTTAAATTCAAATTTATATATTTATTTATATATTTATTTTAGAATTTATATTTTTTCCCCAATATGTATATATTTTTGATAAATCAATTATTGATAAAAAGGTAACATTTCTTTAAAAATAATATCATATTTTTCATTTTTGCATGAATTCGAATTGCTAAAAGTATTCAATTTTCTGATAGCATGTTAAATGTGTATAAAATTTTTGATCACAAAAATTTTATCTCAATAATTTGCTAATACCCATTAAACAAATTGATCTTTAACAAAAAAATAAAAATAAAATGATTTTTTTAAATAAAATTTCGAATGAAAAGCTCAAGAAATTTAATTACATAAATATAACTGCACTTCCAAAGTTTGATTAACTTTGCTATTTTTTAATTTAATAAAATCTACAATTTTAAGTTGGCAAAAAGTATCAATGTTAATGTCTATCGAAAATCTTATCCCCTATAGTTATGACGACTGAAATTTTTAATATTTAAATTTAACAAAAATCTAAATATCTTTATCATTAAAAAAAAAGCTTTAAGTGGCTGGATCAAGAATGAATTTTTCATGTCTGTAAACTTGTGGATTTGTTTTTAAAATTCAAAACACAGAAATTTGCATGTGCATTTTTGGAAAAAAATTTATCTCTGATATTATGTGATTCTCTTTAAATTGATATACCTGGTTCATTTTAGTGAATGAGAAAAATAATTTAAGTTTTATGAAAAAGGAGATCAAGGTTATTGTAATATCGAATGTGTCTTTTTGACTTTGTTTTCAGTTAAAAAAGAAAAAAGCTACGTTTTAAATCATTCACTGTATTTACAAGATTTTGCAGCTCTAAAGTTCCTTTTAGTATGTCCAATGCAAAAATATCACTGAATAATGTTGAAATATTTATTTTGATGTTGAATAAATTTAATTTCAGCCTCTTTTAGTTAAAATATTTTTATAATTGTCGTTTGTTTTTATCATAGTGAATATGATTCAAACTAAGATGTAAATATTTACTTCTCTCTACGAAACATGAAAACTATTTAATTAAATTTGAAAAGTTAACTAATAATAACATTCTCAAATGTCAGTAAAGAAACTTTTATGGGTGATTGTTATTCTAGAATAATAAGATATTTTTAAAAAATGAGTTATAAAAAAAGTAGTAAAGACTCAACTAGTGGAACCCTGGAGCAATTTTGAAATAATCAAGAAAAGGAGATGGTGGGTGAGAAAACTAGTGATGATATATATCAGGTTTCATCTAAACTAGACACAAAATTGCAACCCTTGAAAATACTGTGTCTGAAAAATTTCTAGATTGGTTAAATTGCTATAAGAGTGTCATTAATAGCTTAGTGATAAAATTTTTAGTGCATATTAAATAAAATATCTGAATTCGATGATACCAGTACTAATGAACATGATGTGATTGTAATACAGTACTGCTCACTAAAAGGAATAAAATTAGTTCTTACCAATTGTATTGAAATAAACAGGTTATTTAATAATTAAGATAGTGTAATAGTCCATGCTATGTTTTTACAAAATTTTGCTTTGAAATGGTATGTAATACATAATATTATGTTTTGGAGGTCATTTTAATGAACGATAAACAATTATAATTAGAGCTGTAAGAGTTAGCATAATAAAATTTAAATTTATGTAAAATAATTCAGTGAAAAGTACTAAATCAAAGTATAATATACATAGTAAAATACTAATTATTTCCTTCTGAAGAAATCTGTAATTTAAGGCTGTTTTGACACACATTAAAATAAACATTTCTGTATTCTGTTGAAGAAGGATATAAAACGTTTCATTTATTATACAGCTAACAGGATATGATTATTTCTTAAACAATCCCCTCCCCCTGACTCCTGTTTGGTGCTGGAAATTGATGGGAAGTTTCGATTGAAGTGACCATGTATTGTATTCTAATCTTCTTAACTGTAAGCGAAAATTCCATTTTAACTGATGAAAAATTTTATAAAAATTCATTTTTTTTCTTTTCTTTATGCAATTAAATAAGGACTGGAAACCTTAAATATTAATTTAAATAATTAAATTTAACATTGGTTTCTTATAAATTTTGTGCACCATTGCATTTTATCCATATATGCGGGTTATTTGATTATATGACATGCAATTAAGTGAGGACAGTTGTAGTACTATAACTTATGCATGTTTTTAACATAACTCATGAATGCAAAAAATATGTTGCATAAATGTGTTGAGGGGTTTGAAAAATAGGGAGAAGCTGTTGTTATCTTTGTTAGTGTTGCATTGACGAATCCTAAATGTGGCTGTTAAAAAATGACAAAAAATCAATATGTTACTAATTTTTTTTCATAATATTGTATCATTATTTATGCTAGAAAAATCACTCATAAGTAGGTGCATTTTGAAATTTTATTGTATTTACTAATAATTTTAATAATTTCGCTCATCATTCAATATCTATACACTTAAAAATCTTCTGTCATATTCTTGTTTCATACTCTGTTGGATAATTGGTGGTCTACTGTATATTCTATTGTGTTTTATTAGTAGCTTGTAGTTCCATAGATTGATTGTCATGTCCATTGGCCTATGATTAAAACATGTTACGTGAGAGTATCAAGTTTGACAATATCTTAAGAAAGATTTTCCTTGTTTTATTTTCCTTGCCAGCCTGAAAGTTACTGTTACTTTTGGTTAAATTTATTCTTGCTTTTTTTGAAGTTTACAGTTGAAAAAATTAGTTTTATTTGTTAGTGTCTATACTAATCATATTTGTTAAAAATAATTCTGTACTATTTACTCATATAATTTACTTTATTTTTAGATTCTTAATAAAACTGCTACACTACCTAACGACTTTTACTTGCACAGTGATGGCCTGAAAGATGCTGTGATAGACTTTGAAGACACTTGGCAAAGAAGTCTTAAAAAAAGTAGCAGTAGCAATGACATACCAAAAAAGCAAAATGGCTATCATTCTTTTTATACATCTAGTGTTAATAACAAAAAAGAACAATTATTTAATTTAGTATCTTCTAAGTCACATAGCAGCTCTACAAGTTCTGTTTCTTCACAATCCACAACTGTTTCCAACTTTATATCAACTGATGTAAGCAATTTTTTTATTTTATTAGTATGAACAAGTGTAAATTTATGTTAAATATTATCCCAAAAAATATAGTATTACACTTACTTTATTGGATAAGTTTTCTTTATAATTGTATTAAATTTAATACATAAAATATTAATAATAAAGTAATGCACTGCAAAAATAGAAAAATAAAGTATGAAAATTCTGATTACAGCACATAAAATCTGCAAAAGGCCTGGCAAAGCCACATTACAGTCTGGTTTCTGGCTTATCTTTTTAGATATGTGGACTATTTAATACTATGTAATTTAGATAAGAGTTAATATGTAGGCATAATTTTTCCATTTTTCTTAGTGCTTAAAATTTTATTCATATGCATGCATATAATATATGTTTAAAAATTGCATTTTATGAATAAAAAATTTATAGTTAACTTTCAAATTTTGTATAATTAACAAATTATTCCTGTACATATGTAGACCAAACAATTATCTGAATTTGCGAAGTCTTATTAAAAAAACTAATGTTAAGTTTGAAAAATATTACACATTTAAACAAACTATTTTAACCTATTAAAATTATTTTTTATTTTCAAAGTTAATTAGGTACATTAGAGTATTGATTTAGTTTTTGAATGTCTTCTAATTTTGCAAATTCTTTTACATGATTATAACATATTTTAAAGAAAATAAAAAATATGTTTTCTATACTTTAACATTACAAAAAAGAAAACTAAAATTAAAATAGTAAACAGTTTTCCTTCTTAGTTTTTTTATCTCTCTTACTTTATTACATCTAAAAGAATTTATTCTGTCTAAAATAAATCTTCTGCTTTCAGGCTACAAATTCTGAGCTTATATCCCATGAAAATATTACTTCAGACAATGTCTCTAAATCAAACAAGAGTCTTGGATCATCTGTTAAGAAATCTGTTCTTACGAATATTAGACATCAAATGGCATCTAGTTTACAACGGCTGAAAGAACTTGAAGAACAAGTGAAATGCATTCCTATTTTAGAGGTGAAGCATTATCATTTCTCCTTATACTTTCCTTTTACATTTCATGTCACTGAACATTTTCTCCAAATTTAAACACTTTCAGTAGAAGTAATTGGAAAGTTATTTAAAAATTAATAACCATATTTTCTGGTATCAATCTGTTATATAAGTTTATTAATACACGTATATTCTCTATTTTTCACTTCAAAATTGCTGATTTTTAGTGAATTCAGTGTAAAAGTCTACAGGGTTCAATCTAAGCCTTAAAAAAATGCCAGAAGCTATAGACTTATTGTACTGAACAGAACACTTGAAGGAAGGAAAAGTTATTTTGAAAAATAATTAAATGGTTTTTAAGGGTCTCTTAGTGCTCAAGGTTCTTTTTTCTTTCGATTAAAATTTCATTACTGGGGTAGAGTTGTGCACTATTTAAATAATTTTTAAAATGTTCTTTAATTCTTTTAAAATTATTCAATCATTTTGTGATTTTCTTGGGTCTTTATAATATTGCATTAATTAAAATCTGGTTTTTAAAATCAATATCTAAGTCCATTGCAATATCTGCAAATAAAGTGACTTAGAAACTTGATGGTTCTAAGATGAAACTCTCTCAAACCGAGCACCCTAAAAAATATTTCTCAAATGCATGATTTACAATTTGCATGTCATAATATTATATTAAATTTTAAAAATCATGTGAAAATGACCTAAAAAACGATAAAAAAACTATGTGAATTTATCATTGAACCTCTAAGATAAATTATAAATAATTGAAGTGCTTTGCCTTAAAGGAGTTCATAGTGGTACAGTAACATTTTCAATGATCTTTTAATGGAAAATACTAGGTAAATCATATTAAATAGAATAAACGGTCACTATTACATCAGGTACTTTCTTCTTTTTCAGGCCTCATTGCATTAAACTTTTTTTAAATTGAAATACCGAAATATAAATCAGGAATACTCAAAAATTAAACAACTTCCTTCTTCTTCTTGGGCACTACAGCCTATGACAGGCCAAGGCCGTCCCAGTAAATTTTTGCCATCTTGATCTATTCTGTGCCATGACCTTCCAGTTAGTTATTCCTATTATCTTTAGGTCCCTCTCAACTGCTTCCAGCCACCTAGTCGGTGGACGACCCCTTTTTCTTGTATCTTCTGCTTAAAAAAAAGTTTCTTTTCTTCGGGGTTTTGGTCTTCAGATCTATAAAGGTGTCCAAGCCATCGAATGCGATTGGCCTTATTAACATAAACTATGTCTGGTTGTTTATACTTTTTATATAACTCATGATTGTAAAGGGTGTGCCATTTGTTATTCTCATAGACTGCACCAAAAATTCTTCTAAGTATCCCTCTCTCAAAAATCGGCAATTTGTTCTCTTTTTATTAAGAGTCCAGCACTCACTACCATATAGGATCACAGGCTGTAGGAGTGTTTTTTATATGCTAATTTTTGAGTCTTTTGTTTAAGAAATTTACTTTTTAGTTGGCTTTTTAAGCTAAAGTAGCACTTGTTTGCCATTGCTAAATGGCTATCGATTTCAGTATTTATATCATTTTTGCAGGTTACAGTAGTTCCAAGATATTTAAATTCATCAACAGCTTCAAATTCATAATCATTCACATGCAAGGGCATTGCCTTAGTGAGCCCTCTGTTTATCTCCATATATTTAATTTTGCAGCATTAATGGTTAGTCCCATTTCACTAGCTGCTACTTCAAGAGCTTTGAAGTTCTCCACTACTGATTGTCTAGGTCTTCCAATAATTTCAAGATCATCTGCATAAGCAAAAATTTGTGTAGATCTTTGAAAAATAGTGCCTCTTACATTGATTACAGATGCTCTGATTATTTTTTCAAGTGCGATATTAAATGGAAGGCAAGCAAGTGCATCTCCCTGCCTCAGGCCTCTATCAGTGTAGAAGGGCTCGGAGAGTTCGTTTTGCAACTTAATTCCGCACTTGACTCTTCTGAGTGTTGTTTTTATAAAGTTAATAAGCTTCAAGGGAATACCAAATTCCTCCATTACTTCATACCACTTATTTCTCTTGATACTGTCGTATGCTGCCCTAAAGTCAATAAAAAGATGGAAAGTCTCAATATTAAATTCTTTTGTCTTCTCAATAATTTGTCTTAAAACTTGTATTTGATCAATTGTAGATTTTTCTCTTTGAAAACCACAATGGTAACTTCCAACCACCTTCTCCACGTGTGGTAAAAGTCTTTTATATAGTACACTGGAGAAAATCTTGTATGCTGTATTCGATAAGGTGATCCCCCTATAATTTTTAAAATCCATCTTGTATCCCTTTTTGTAGATTGGGCAGATAGAACCATCATCCCATTCAATGGGCATCTGTTCCAATTCCCATATCCTGCATATAATATCTTGGATTGCCCTGATCAATGCTGATTCCTTAATTTTCAAAAGCTCAGTTTTTATTCCATCTGGTCCAGCAGATCTATTATTGCTCAACTTCTTAATTGCCTGTTCAATCTCACCTAGAGTAGGCAAATCAGTTTCCTCTCCTTGACTACTGGTAGTCCCATAAGATATACCATCAGCCAGGTTTGGTGACTCACCCCCAACTAAGGGGTCCTTAAAGTGTTCTCTCCACCTCTCAAGTATTTCTGTTTTTTTTCCTGCAAGTTCTCCATTCTTTTTTCTGCAAGTAATTGCTCTAGGGTTTAACTCCTTTCTGATATTATTAATTAATTGATAGTATTTTCTTGCTTCTTTCTGTGTCTTAAGTGATTCAATCTCTTTAAACTGTTCTTCAAAGAAACCTTTATTTTTCTTTAAATGTACTCTCTTTTCCTGCCTTCTCAGCTCTTTATATTTTTCCTCGGTATTTCTAGTACTATGTCCTTGTCTCATAGCTTTATAAGCTTTGTTTTTCCTCGCAGTGGCTTCCATACATTCCAGATCATACCAATCCTTCCATTTATTCTTCTTCTTTTCTGGAGGTACTTCTTCAGCTGCATGGGTTATGATTTGTTTCATCCATTATCCGCCTTCCGAGTTCTTCATGGGATTGAAGTTTATCACTTAAGTTAGATAAATACTTTTCTTGAACATTGGGTTTCTTCAGCTCCTCAACATCAAGCTTTTTCAGTTTTCAATTTCTCCTCTAATAGTATACTTTGCTTAGTTTGTACCTCATTTTAGCAATAACTGGAAAGTGAACCGAGTCAATGTTTGCTCCTCTATAAATTAAACAACTATGCTTCTTTAAAATAAAATAAAGAAAACAATATGGAAATTTAAAAGCTACCGCGAGGGATGTTACTTGCTGCTAAAATTATAAAGCGTTGTGACTAACTAGCTATATATATATATATATATACAGCAAAAATCTATCAAAAGAAATTGAAATTAGCTTCATTTTCTAACATATTTCTTTCAGTTCTTTATTAAAAGTAAATGCAGGGAAGATTTTTGTTTTAAATATACATCATTGATAATATTATACTTGGTGATAGTTAGGAATAAGTAATTTAATAGAAAAAAATGGATTAAGTTTCAACAACTTTTTACGTTTTTAAGTGTACATATCATTACTATACAGGGAGTCAAATCACATCCTAATATGTTTAATTTGTGTATTGTACAAGTAAACTGGATGTTAGTTATTGATATAGCTCATAATCACTTAATTAGTAAAAAAATATGTGGATCAATTATTGAATTATTCTTTTGTTTGCTTTCCCCACTTTTCTAAAACAGATTTACCTGGAAAAAACAAAAGAACAGAAAAAAAAAACAAAGAGAGGGGAGCCATGAATTCATCCACAGGATGATTAGATATTAGGGATAAAAGGGTGCTCTGACAATCACTGTAGTAAATCAATTTGATACACTTGTCTTTAGAGTGCTTCTTCTCAGGAAATTTGTGCTCTAATTTAGTATTTCATGTCATATGCTAACTATAGACTATTTGTTGGGAGTTGAATACTGGCAGCACACAACTCTCCTTTTTCTTTGTTAGTTTTCCCCAGCATTAAAATGCATCGAAAGTATTAACAATTTAATTTAGACGTAGTCTTTTTTTTAATGCTTATAATTTAAATAATATCATAATTTCACTATTAATAATGTCATTAGAAATAAAAGATATAAAAGTATTTCTGGAAGAAAAAGCTTGATACTTACTGTCTTGATAACTGCTAGATTATCATAGAATTTTACAAATGACAATGATTATAATAATTCATTGGTGTTCATATCTATGGTGTTAATTTGTGGCTTAATTTAATATATCATATGGCTTAGTATAATATTTGCTATATAGCATAAATTCTTGATTACTGCCCTTTCATTTTATATTTAAATGTTGTAATAATCAGATTTATTCAGATAAAGTGACTTCCTATGTTTTAATAACTTTGCTAATTGAAAATATGTTCTAGAAATTAACTGTAAAGTAGCCATTTTCCCTGGTACTTCCCTTTTAAAAACTATTATAGAGTTGTACTAAAATATTTGAACAATATGTGTTTTTATTTTCATAATGTGTTCTAATGCCATACTTTTACAGGTTAAATTATCTGCTTTGAAAGAAGAGAAAAAGTCTTTACTGAATCAACTTAAATTTAATCAAAGTGAAAGACAAACAGAATTGCAAAAAGAAACACTATTAGAAAATCAAAGAATCAATGAAATATGTTTATCAGTTATACAAAAGGAAAATCATTTATCTTCTCCAGGAATGGCATCTTGCTTAGATGCTGTCATTTCTAAAAAATGTTTTGTAGAAAAAGAAAACTCTAAAAGTGTTGGGATATCGTGTACTGTTCTTACCCGTGACATTGGTGTTGGGTACATCCCAAGCAAACTTAAATCTGTTGCTGTAGGATGTGATAATTTAACTGATAATAAGTGCTCTTCTAAGAAAAGTAAAATTTATGAACCTTATGTGAACTTGTCATCAGAATCTCTTGAGAGTGATCTTGAATCATTTAGAGGCTCAAATGAGCAAATTCATCCTCATATACCACTTAAATCTACCTCTTCTAAGTGTTCTACTGATAAAATTAATGTGCCTAAAACTTACATTGATTCTTTCACTAGTATGGATATTAGATATGTTGATAAATCTGTAAATACTGAATCAATAAACAATACAACAAAAAGTACACCAGTAACTACTTCTAAGTTTGTACAAACATCTGAATTGAAAGTATTTCGAAATACTAGCTCTCAAACAATGACAGACAAAAACACAATAAAAAAACTTTGTTGTGATAAAGCTGTTGGCAATGCTAACATAAATGACACGATTTGTTCACAATGTAAGAAGACAAACTCTATAGCTATTGGAGATGAAAAATTAACCAGCTGTGATTCCCCTTCTGTTGCTGCTTTGCATGTTCGAACTGTTGCTGTTGGTGATTTCGATATTAATGACATGAGGGATAATTGTGAACATTTTAAGTCTGAAAATGTTCAAACGAATTCAGTTGGAATAAATACAACTAATGATCTAGTTACTAATTCAAATAGTGATATTCATATATGTGACAAATGTAGTGCTACTATTCATTCTGTTGCTAGAGGACTAGCAGCAAACACTAACCCTCTAAGCAGTTCAAATAGTAATGAATCTAAAATTCCAAGATCTAATATAAGAACTTCTCCAATTGGAAGATCAAATAGTATGAAACTTCCTAAACTAAAAATACCAGCTTTTCAAAATCAGAAAAATATTGAAAATACAGATTCATACGTAAGGTATAAAAATATTGGAAGCAAATTTCTTTTACTTATTACACAAATGTATTCAAATCACATTTATTTTATATTGCCCTGCATGTCCAAAAAGAAAGTTATTATTTTTTTTTTTATCATCTGATTTGGTGGGGGAAAATTTTTCTAAGAAATTAGCACTCAGAAAATGGATTAAAATTTTTAGGTTTGTGACATAATTTATCTTGTTAATTTGGCAGAATTGTCCTTAGAAAGAAAGATATTTTTTCTTAAACAAAAGGATGTGTCAAAAAAGACAGTATCTTTTTTGGCATATAATTTTTTATATTTGGCATTTACCTTTTTTGGCATATCAGTTGTCTTACCCTACATTTTCTCAAACTGATAAATACCTGTATGCAGAGTTCGTGTTTATGTGCCATACCCAACTTTTTTTACTCATATTTGGCAGAGCAGAATAAAACTAAAGCAATGTTTCAAGCTTACACAAAAGCAAAAAATACATGTTTTATGAAAAGAAATCTTGCTATAAATTATATAACGCTAAAGAACATCATTTTCATATAACCCGACAAGCAGTGAGGAAAGAATAATCTTTTTACATGCATTACAAAACATTTCGACATACTAATATGAAATTTAGACATTAAATTTTCTATTTACATGTTAAGTGCGCTGTCAAGTAATGTAACGGGAAGTTAAAGTTGTAATTTATTATTCTTTTTTATTGCGTTAGCATATTTATGAAAACATTATAATCGTGACTATTATTGAATTATTCATTGGAAAAACTAATTTTCAGTTAAATACTTTTTTTAGGAAATACTTTTTAATGATAATATTGCTTTTAATTTAAAGCTTAAAATATTTTCAGCCATGTATTTTAAATAAACCATTAAAAAAACAGTTTAAGGGGTCACAGTACCCAAAAAATGACGAAAATACCAAATTTTTTTTTATTGCTTATAATAAAACTTCAAAGTATTTCAAATGTACAGAAAAAAAATTAATCTCTCTATCTACATTTTTAAAAAAGTTATGAATGATATTTAATTGTTCTAATACAGAAACTTGCTCAGCAGTCTGACTTTAAAGTGCTTTTTCGCATAGATGATAATTTTGTGTCTTAATCTTAATTAAATCCCTAAGGAATTTTTTCTATTTAAGATAAAGCTTTAAAGTAAACTTTTTTATCTTGAGTATAATACACTTATTTATAATGTGCATGGAATAAGCATTTTATGACGTATTACAATTTTTACGGCATGTTATATATACCTAACAGGAATTTTTACCCTTTTTTTTCACCTTTNGTATTTTAAATAAACCATTAAAAAAACAGTTTAAACCAACAAAAAATATGGTTTAAAATTTTTTTTTTTTGTGGCTTTTTTTTTCCAATTTGATGAAATTGAAGTGAAATCAGAGAATGTTGCGACTCTGACATTTTACTACAATATGAAAAGCGTGCATCTTTTTTTTTCTATCTCAAAAGAAAAAAATTACTACTTCCAAAGATTCGTGTTCCCCGTTTAAAAGTGTAAAAGGCTTGAAATTCTGACAAATTTGTGCATTTCTCATGGTTATGTGATGGAATCATTACTAACCGAGTTCTTCAAAAGTGATTGTTTAAGTGCACTGTTTGCCAGATGTACAACATGGTATAAATAATTCCAGATTTTGAAAACAATCTGAAAATCCATAGCAGCAACTACATGTGGATATAGTACAAAATTGTGTATAATCAAGTGTTAAAAGATCATTTCTCAAATGCATTATATATATATATCGTCAATGTCATTATCTTGTTAGATTTATCTGATATTCATTTGAATTAGTATAACCTTACATCTTATTTTCTATCTCTTAAATTAACCCTCAAACATACTCCAAGGCATCTTTTGCTAGTGAGAATAAATATATCTAGATACGACACAAAAAATATGGTTAAAATATGCTGCTTTAGCATGTAAAAATATATATTTTGTGTTCTTTTTTTTTTTTTTTCCAATAAAAATTTTAAGGAAATATTTCATTTTTTATCTGTCAAAACAGCAGTTTTTACAAGATGTCTGATTTCTACATGTTCACATAACTTTTGACCTTCAAATACCTATTGTTGTACTACTTTACATCTCAATGCATAAAATGTGGAGCTAAAAATTGATTAAAACTGTATTTCACCTGTCTCTATTCAGTTAAAAATTTTCATTAACTTGATTAAATAAGATTCTTGAGTATATTTGTTTTGCTCATTAACTATTTCGCTCCATTATTTTGCTATTACATTATTATTACTTCCGATGAAAAGTTAAGGTAAATACTTGGTTAGCTTCAGTAGTATTTTTTATATTTGTTTAAAAATTAAAAATATTGTAGCTTTTTGTTTTCTTTTTTTTTTCAGCTTTCATTCTGAAAATCAGAATATTATTTTAAAAAATGAATGTGAAACTTCTGAAAACATGAAAGAAATAGACCCAAAATCTAAAACTTGTGAAATCTTGCCTACATTGATGAATCTACCAGCAGCTCCACGAAAAAAGTAAAAATAATATTTTTCGTGTTAAAGTAATAAAAATTTATAATAGTTAGTTAATAATGAAAATAAATTGGTTTTAGATTTGAAATAAGTAAAGAAATAAAGGCTGCTTGTAAAGTGTTGAGTGATTGCCTTCAAAAGTCTGATAAAAAAAGTGAGAAGAAAGCAGTAAGTATTATAATTAGAATGCATTATCAATTCAAATTTTACAAAATTATATAATATGCAACTAATATAAGTCATATTTTACCTTCTACTGTAAAGATTTTCTTTTATTAGTAAATTAATTGTATGCTATAAACATAGGCATGCCGAGTGGTCCATAGCTCACCTAAATGTATTTTTAAGAAAATTTAAAATTCATGGATTTTTTTTAATCTTAAAATAAATTTTGCTTAAATGAGGATAAAAGTTGAAAAAGTAAATTCTTTACTTCCCAATAAGTAAATTCTTTACTCATTCTTTCTTTAAGTATTTTACTTCTTTTTTTACCTTATTTTTTTTTTCAAATCTTTTTTTGCTTTTCATTTTTTTCTTCTTAATTTTGTTTATTTTTGTTTACTTTTTTTCATCAAGGATAAAAGGCCTCTTACAAAGCAGGAAAAAAATTATAAATGATTGATTTAATAATTGCCTGTTTCAAGATGGTACCTGGGTATATTTCAATATATACATTTATCTAGTGGGTACTGGTAAAAGCAGCTGCTAGGAAACACAGACATGAAGTAAATATCTGTCTGAGCCTACTTTCCTAACAGGGAAACAGCTACAAATATAGAAGTGGGGTGATTGATGACATATTAGGACTTTGTTGATGCCTATTTTGCAAGATCACCCCTTTCTTAGAATATACTCGACTATGAAACTGGACTTCCAAAATGGAGCATTTCGTTGTTTCATTTTGAATTTTATATTTAATGTATGAAGGGAAAAAAATAGTTAAGAGTTTTCCCTTAAAAAGAAAAAAATATTAAAAAGAGAAATAACTTTAATTCTATTAAGGCAAGTAAAATATTTTAATTTATAATAATCTAAATTGTCCTATTTAAAATCCTTATTGAATTATATAATTGATGACAATTTAAAATTTTTATCACATAGAAGAACATTAGATGTAGTTTTAAGGGTATTTTTTAAAATAAAGAACACTGTGGAGGTAGTTTCTTAAACTTCTTTTATTTATATGGCAACATGTCATAACATAATGTAATAATATTTATATTAATTCTTTAAAAAAGTTTCAACTGACTTTGAGAAAAAATATATGCTTAGATTTGTAGACAAATTCTATAATTAAAGGCTTAAAACGTTTTAGTTTGCAAATTTATATATATATATATATATATATATATATATTTTAACTTGTGCGATTTTTTCTGATATACTAGTATAACTTTATTTAAGGTAAAGCATAAGTCTATAGGTGTTTTAAATTCAAGCAAAGTTAAAGTTGAATGTTTTTTTTAGGGTGCATGTACTTAAAGTAAAATATCTTAATAATTAAGGTAAATAGCTTTCATAGTTATATATAAAAAAAATCTCAACAAAAAATAGATACTTTTGAAAATAAATTAGTTCAAATCCTTAAAATGTACAAAATCATAATAATTCTGTATTCTACTAAAATAAGTTAGTAATTGTTTTCTGTTTTCAAACAGCCTTTATTATTAAAATTTTTCTATTTCACAAAATGTTTTTAAAAAGATCTTTGGAACCTCACAGTTCTTTTTTTTTAGTATTTATTTTGCTGTTATGATACATTTAATTTCTCTCACAGGGAAGGAGGGAGGCTATTAAGGTAATATTAATAACAGCAACAGACAATAATAATAAATTCAGTAAAATTCAATGTCTAATTGTGAACTTGCTATTGAAATCATTTTTAAATGTGAAAACTTATTTAACTATAGTGGCTTACCTTTATGAAAATGTCTAGGCATGCTTATTGCTATAAAAATAAACTTTTAAATTTTATATTTTTGTTTTGCATATTATGAATAGATTTTAGTCACTATAAAGATACTCATATAACTTATATACAAAGCTATATTTTTTCAGACATGTATTATAATGTATTGTGAAAAAAGAGATATTACCCTGAATAATTTTTGTTATAATCAGATTTTCACGCAATAAGTGTCAATCTTCATTATTCTAAGTGTTAACCTCAAATATGCAATAGGAGTGCTAACTATTACTTAAATTATGGAAGAAGAGGTACTTACAATAAATATTCCTTATTCTAATAAACATACCTTTTTACAAAGGATTTAGATTTTTGGTTTTCAAAATAGTGGATGGAGGTAGCTGCTATCTGGAAGATATAGTCCTGTTAGTTTAGCTAGGAGAATGGTTTAAAATTAAGGCCCTCTAGTGTATTTATGTATTTTATGTATTTCGCTACATCTCAGGAATTGTTTAAGCAAATCGCCCCATCCCACATCTTAGTGATTTTGGTCAAAATTTATGAATATTTTTAATTGGTATTTTTGGTTAAATATTTATATACCTGTATGGGCATATAAGGGCAAAAATATGTGCCCTGGACTTGTTGGTCATTTTGGAGACCTGGCTCTAACAGTGCTGTTACTTTTTAAAATAATATTTTTTTATCGAATGCATTCGTACTTCACAGCCACGTGGATGACGGAAAAGCTATGAGGCGAAATACTGTTCAACATTCATGATAAAATAATATTTAGTTTAATTCTTTTTATTTATTCGATATACATTCATAATAGTTGACAGTAAAAAAACTGGACAGAAAATCTAATTTAGGTTTTTGTATAAATTCTCCAGAACACACATAATACAAGTATACAATGGCTACAAATATTTGAACATAGGTAATAACTTGGACTGGGCTATAAATCGATATATCACGACATATCGATTTAAGGCCTGTATCGGCAGGCCGATACAGCGACTTTCGTTCCAGGCGATGCATCAGAAATCTGATTTAAGCCGTCGAGTAAAGAAGACGAACGATATACGATACAACGATATAGCGATACAAGACAAGAAAGGATCTCTTACGTTCCGATGCCAACTCGCGCTGGGGAAGACGATGTACGTATCGTTATATTGAAACGGCCTTGATTGATGAGCGGTAGAATCAGAATCAGTTTTGAGAACATATATCGTGATCTCGCATGTTCGTTTCCGCACCTCTTAAATTTCTTTCTTCTTTGTCGCGACTTGATATCGTTTCTTGTAGATTATTTTCAGTGGGACTGACTTTGTGATCATTACCTTGTTCTGAACGTATTCTATTACAGTAGGGAACCGATTATCCGGAACGATAGGGACCATCGCTATTCCGGATAACTGATTTTTCCGGTTTTCTGAATCGCTACAAAAAGCCGTTTTTTTCATTGTCAAACTCAGCTAAAAAAAAAATATTTGGAAATAGTCTTAAAAAGAAGAAAAAACGAGGAAGTAATACACTAATGATTATTTCCAAAATGATGGTAAGGTAAACATCTTTCAAAAAAGAAAGAAAAATCGTAAAATCTTAAGAGGAAAAAAAAATTTTTTTTTTAAAAAAATAACGGGAATATTTATCGAATTTCGTTCCGGTTTTTTGATTTTCCGGTTTTCTGATTTCCGGATAATGGGTTCTGTACTGTATTAAAAAGAATATATAAAGAAGTGTTTCTTTATTAATTAGGAAAATTTTTTTGGAAACAAAACTTTCTTTTTTATTTTTAAATGTGAAAATTACTTTTGATATTATATGTTTAAGTATTATTTTACATTATTGAATTTATTACAAACGGAAATCTAATTTAAGGTGCCCATAAAGAATTAAATTAAAAAGTAATTAAATTTGTTAGGCTATTTTTTACTTTATTTTAATTTATTAAAAACTTTTTGGATAAAATAATAATTTAAAGGGCTTTTATTACTGAGTTTAAATTTATAAATATTTAGTTGTTTTAATTTTTATAAATAAAATTATAACAAAACTTATTTTTCCTCTTTTGGATTTGGACATAAGTCAATCAACTTTGTTTATTCAAAAAAATTAGTAATGTTTGCGATTGCGACTTCTTTTTTTAAAATCATTTAGCACTTCGTTTTATTAAAGAGTATAATCGTGTTTTTTAATTTTCTTTCAATATTGTCAGTTGAATATATTATCGAATATCATAATTCTTTTGTTTTTATTTTTAAGAAATTAAACCTTACTTTGTTTTTTCGTTCAGAATTCGGTAATTATTCAATTTAACTTTATTATTTATGTGAAATAATAATGATAAAAAATAGTGTTGTTTTAAAAGTGTTTTTTTTTTGTTTAATTTATTTAGCACTTTGTTTTAAGCACACAAATAATTTTTAACGAACTTATTTTTTAAATTTTCTTTCTTTATTGTTAGGTAAATATATTGATAAATTTCAATTTTATTCATTTTTTTATTATTTATTTTTAAACTAAGAAATCTTTCGTTATTTGCGCGATCATTTTTCGAAAATATAACAATATCTTTCTTAAGCAAAACATATACATCAAATTCATAAATTGATTTAAATCAATCTGAGTATGAAGTTTTGATAGAAATCCGACTTTCTGCGCCTTACAAGTAAAAGAATTTCAAAAATGCTATATCGCGATACATCGCTATATAGCGATGCAAAACTGGCGATGCATCACGATATAAAATTTCTTATATCGCCCAGTCCTAGTAATAACTATTAATAGCTTGTAGCTATTTAACAGAATTTGATTTTCAATTTTAAATGTAACATAGTTCATACAAAATGCACTTATATTATCATTTTTGAACTTAAATTCTCTGACCACAAGTAATAAATTGCTTAAATTTTTTTCCTCTGAAACTTTAAAGAATTCAGTTTTCCCAAATTCTGTTTATGCTTTAGTTTCTTTATTTCAAAAGTTTGTAAAATGATTTAAAGGTTTTAAACTTTACAACGAAACTCAAAATTGACAATTACTTTGTTTATTTGTGAAACTTCATGGCTAATGTTATGTTTAAAATACTATTTGCAGAATAAATTTCGAAACAAATAAATTTATTTAGGAATAATACATATTTATTAAAATTAATAAATAAAAACTCATATCTCATATACTAAGACTTTTTTTAAAAGTTTAAATATCAAGTTTTTATTTTTTAAAAAAAAGCTTTCATCATCGCCATTATGCTTGATAAAGATTTTTAGTTAATTTTGGGTGTCGTTATTCATTTAGCAGTGTCTTATAAGGCAGTATTTAGATACATCATTCAACCTACAATTACTCTGTACATGTAAAAATATACTACTACTGAGGATTTATTAATTACTTCTGGAACTTTTCTAATCTATCATTTCTGTTTGTTTGATTATTTATTTATGGAGCCTACAAGCTCTTTATAGAGCTGTTATTTTTATGTATTTCTGATATGTTTAAAAAAGGATTTATCTTTTTTTAGTTATCCAGTTTGTCCATTATTCAAACTGAATGGTTTAGAATTGCAAACCAAAAGAATGCTGATCCACTTCTCATTGAGGATTACTTAGATATGTTTGAAGACTTTTCCAGACTTCTTCTGGAACGAGTTGTCAATCTCTCTGATAGCAATGTAATATGCTTTATTTTAAATGCTTTTCTTTTAATATCTTAAAATTATGTATGGTTAAAAACAAAGTATTCACAGCGAAAGTAAAATATTTACTATCTGACTTTGGTTAGCAATGCATTTGCAGGCCTAAAAACATTAGTAGATTTAAATAAATACTAGACATTGCAAACTAACAAAACAAATAAAACTGCTTTTAAAAGAATATTATGCAGTAATGTATGCAATAATTGTGGCTAGATTAAAAAGTTCTCATAAAAGTTAAACTAGATATCTTTTGGATTGGTAGAGAATGAAATGCCATGCGCGTAACTACAGGGTCATATGTTAGTAATGTTGCATCCCCTATGCTACTACACAAGAGGGTTGTGAGTTTGTAAACCATATGCGGTATTGCACATATCTTCAAAAAATTCTTTAGATCGATATATGCCTGTGAACTATTTCTGTTTGTTACGAATACATGGATCATGAACAGAGTGTTTAGAGTTTGCCTGAGCTGTACAACTTTATACACTACTGATTATGGAGATTCTGTGATGAGAGTGGGGTATTTTATGAGAGTGGAGTAAGACTTATTAGTTCATCCTTAAAAAAAAAAAACTATTAATTTTTAATTTGAACGAAATTGTAGGTTTAGAAAGTAAAATAATAGAAACTAACTTACACTAGTGTTCAAAATTAAGAGAATTTGCATATTTTGTGGAATATCTTGAATACAACTGAACAAAATCAAAAATTGCTCAAAAGAAACTTCAAAACAAAGATGCCTGCTAACTTCAACTACTGCTTCAAAACAAAGATGTAAATCTTGTGTATCAAATATTTAAGTGCATACCTGTGTGTGAGTAAGTGAAGCTAGTAGAAGAATGGACTTTCAAAGCTTGCGTGGCAAAATTTGTATTTAGTTTTGTTGTGCATCTTGCTGAATTTCTGAGGGTTTTTTTTTTTTTTTTGCAGCAATCTTAACCAATTCTTTTCATTTAATTTCAAGCAACAAAAAAGTGCCACTACTAGCATTTAGATGATGGATGAGGTAGCAAACTGTGGAGAGATTTTAAGGAGGCCAACTTCCAATTTTAGATTTGTAGAGAATACGATTTAAAACTCAGCATAGTGTGCAATTTATAAAACAGCTTCAGGAATCTGGATCTGTCGAGAGAAAACCTAGATAAGGTCAGCCAAGAGCTGCCACAGGAACCCATAAACTGCCTCATTTCCAGTCTGAAATGATCTTGTGAGGCCTGTATATCTCTATAAAAGGGCCATATCCCCTATTAATCCATTTTTAAAAAAAATTTGATTCTGTAACCACTTTCTGATAACACGATACTCTCAAGACTGTTAATCACGGTCATGTATGTGCATTATAATTGTTTAACGGTTATTATTTTTATAATATATCAACCTGTGTGAAAAGCAAATTTTATTAAAATCCAACCTGCAGTTCTGGATTGTCCAAATATAAAAATTCTCTTAATTTTGAATGCAAGTGTATATAAAGAATAAGGACAGTCCTCCTCCGTATGGTTTAGTAATGACATGCTAGTTCTTTTTAGTAATTTTGAGAATTTCTAAAAAATTTTTTAAAATACCGAACATTTTCAAATATAACAAACATAAAAATTGTTGTGATAAATATTTTATCTAAATTTATGTATTTTCTTCTTCATTTTAGTCTAAATTTTTTGTTACAAACAATTAATTTTTTAGGGAAATACTGCTCTACATTATGCTGTTTCATATGGAAATTTTGATGTTGTAAGCATCTTAATAGATTCTAAAGTTTGTGATGTTAATAAGAAAAATAAGGTAAATTTTCATGTCTATGATTCATTTCAATGTTTTGCTTATGCCACATTTGATGTTCATTTCAAATATGTGTACAGATTGCTGCTTGGTTGATGTATATTATCTTTTTAAACATGTTATTTTTGTGGTCCTATTTTGAACACTAGCTCTCTTAAGTTTGAATTGAATAAAATCAAAGTATATTTTATATTAAGATGAAATGGAAAACTACTTACATAGAAATGATATTTTGGCAACACAAGTTATTTAGTAAAGCAAGTGGATGCATATGGTTCTTTTAGAAAAGAAAAGCTTTCCTCAAGTGCAAAACATAACACTTGTCAGAGGTAACATAAGAATACAAAATTTTTGTCTCTCATCAAAGAAAAATGTGAATTAAAAAAAAATATGTTGATAACTCAAAAATAGCCATCTGAAGTTAAAAAAAATTAACATCTATAAAAATGCTGACAGCCTAATTAAATTAGCCACCTTGTAGAACTATAGAGATAAAATCACAGCTTAAGAATAACACTGTATTTTTAGCAAAAATTACTAATATGTAATAATGACTTACAAGATATAGATTAGCTAATAAAATTTAAAATAATTAATAGTAATTAACAATTTTATGTAAGATCAGAGGTGCATCTGCACCTGAAAGCCTAGTTATTATAATACACCTAATTCTATTACTTTTCAAATTAAATAACTTATTCTTAACTGCCAAAACATTTAAAACAAAACATCAAACCAAAACATTTTATACATTTCAGAATGTATGTCTAGGTCTAAGTTTCAAAGTCACCATTTTTTGAAAATAACTGGTTACTACAATTTGATTTTTTTGACATTTATATGTTGTAGATAAATTTGAAATTTTAAAATCTGAGAAAAGGAGTGTGAGATAACTTACAATTTCCTTCAAGATAAAGCATAGTAATGCTTTGTTATTACATAAAATTATGCAATTGCATAAAAATGTGAAGTTGCAAAATTCTATCTTATAAGTTTTTATTTTGCTAACTAAAAACAATATAAACAACATAATAACAACAACAAACAGCACAATCTAAACTACATGGTTCACAAAGAAAATAATGTTTTACAAATTATTTAGTCCTTAGAAGTCAGAGAAAAATAATGTATTTTGATCAGTTTTACAAAGCAAAAAAAATTGTGAAAAGCCATTTGATTTCAGAAATAAAAAGTAATTTCAATCAAAAAATTTGCAGTTCAGCAATATTTAGTCTACTACTTATAAGTTTGAATTTGAATATTTATTTATTGCTTAGAATATCGTTTTGTTACTTTTTTGGTGTAAAATGTAGGAAACAGAAAATCCTCAAGCAAGTCATCACCTAATAATAAAAAGCTTCTTTGACTAAAAATTGTTGCTTTCAAATGTTGAATGATATTTTATTTTCCAACACATTCTGATTTAGTATTACCTTATTGTTCACTTTCACATTATTCTTACATGTAGAAATTTATTACTCTGGTGCTTGGGCAATGAAAAATTTCTGTTCATATTAGCAGGGGTGAGTCTGGGGTTTAAAAGGACAAAAGCAAAACAAATGGTGGTGGTGCCACATTTGATATATAATGCATAAAAAATATTCTATGTTAAAATAATCATTTAGTTAGATTTTGAGACGTTTTAGTATTGTTTCATTATAAAAATATTTATAGATACATACATTGACATAATAAAACCCCATATTTAAAAAGCCTTTTTGGGCTTTAAAATAAAATCTGCTAAAAATATTGTTAATATCGATTCAATGGTGGGTTTTTGGAGTTTCAGTAGCATTTTCATAATGTACGCTGATTCCTGTTTGGTACATGCCTTTACTTTATTTTACAATTTGGAAATGTTCTAAATTTTTGGTTGTAAAAATAGAGCTGAAAAATAGTAAAAGCACAATGATTGTCATCGCTGATTATACTTAAATGGATATTTTATTGAACTATTATAATTAAAATTATATAAATTTTTCATAAAGTTAAATTAAAAATCATCATATACTTTTATGAATATTTTTAGGCTGGTTATACAAGTATCATGCTTGTTGCTTTAGCAGATATGAAAAATGATACTCATCAATATGTTGTTCAGAGGCTGTTTAGCATTGGGGATATTAATATAAAAGCTACTCAAGTAAGTTGTTACATTAAAAAAATTACCATATCATATTACTAATACCAAATTACTTATATCAAAATACCATATTACCCTATGCTTAAAATGAATGCTTAATATTTATTATACTAAAATGCTTATTACTTAATATATGCTCAAATTCAATTTTTAGTAAATATTTTTGTACTATTTTGCTTAAGTGTTTAAATATCATTTAGATATTTTACCTAAATTAGAAACTTGGATTTACCTTACAATCTCTTAATCATTTATTTACTTTTGTATTATTAATAATATTACACAAAAGCATGAGAATAATATTTAAATTAAACAAGTGAAAATGTAATGAAATCTGGTAAGCTTTAAATTGTATTCTAAAGTTTATTATCGTTTTTTAAAAAGGATAGATTATGCTACTTCATTTTTGTAATATAATTTTAATATTTAATTTAAAACTGATTGAAATAGAATTCCTCGGAAATTTAAGAAATGATTCATTATTTACATTTTGTAAATACATTCTGGAGAAGTTCTAAAAATGTATTGGGGAGGTGCTACAAAAAGATGCCACAGATTTTCTCATAAGATTCCTCAACAGCCCTCAAAATCTCTTTTCACTTATGGATTGTTTTTTTTAATGCCACTTGGACATCACAGAGAACAAGAAAACGTTGAAGACTTAAATTTACATCATGAAGAATGGTTGTGGAAGAAAGAAATACCTTTAAATATCTAGTGGGAACTTTGCAAGGGAGTTTGTTTGTTTGTAAATCGATATCATAATTTACTTTTCCTTATATTTTGTAATTTAGTATTACTTGATAATATAAAATTGCTCATGTTCATATCAGCTATATTAGTTTAGTTCAGTTCAGAATGATAAATATTATATTAAATATACGAAATATAAAACACTTTGCAATAATTTACATGACCAACATATGCTAGAGCAAAATATCTCATTTAAAATATGCCACGTACACAATCTACAAATAAAAAATGTAGCCAATCAGGATTGCTAAATAAACATTTTTTTAAAATTAAGAGAAAACTAGTCAATCTTGACTTATTTCATCAGTCAAAATATAAATTACTCTTAAAGGTAATGCTTTAAAATTTACTAACAACAAATTATAGGATAAATGCATGTCTTATAAATTCTAAAAAATTTTAGTTCATACCTTTTTTCACCTATAAATTTTAATAAAAACAAAATCAGCTGTTCAAAAATATCACCTACTAATATAGTCAACAATAAGTTGGAACTTTTTTTTTCTTTCAAAATTTTTTTTAAATGAATTTTTAAAATTTGTTTATGTTTTATTGAAATCACCGATCGTAGTGGCTTATTTTATTTACTGGTTAAATAATCCAATATGACTGCCTTTTTTTGCCATTTTGAAAAATCAGCAATATGATTTTGCAAGTTACGACGGAAAGTTTAAATTTGTATCAGGTTAGGGATGACCCTCTACTAAATTGAAATTCGTAATTTTATATTAGGTAATGTTCAAATAAGTTATAATAATCTGAAATTATTATAACCTTTTTTCTTCTAGAATGGTCAAACAGCTTTAATGCTAGCTGTTAGCCATGGAAAAAAGGATATTGCAAAAATATTAATAGATGCAGGAGCAGAGGTCAATTTGCAAGATAAAGATGGTTCAACAGCTTTGATGTGTGCAGCAGAGCATGGCCATTTGGAAATCGTCAAGTTTTTGCTTTCAACTCCTGATTGTGATCCTTTTATTGTAGATAATGTAAGTTGAAAAGTATATTTAGTCAATAATTAATTCAACTTTGTAATCTTCACTAAGCTGAAGTTCAGAGATGTTTTAAAAGTCTCTGTGTCTGTAATGTTTTGAAGTAAATTGCTTGGGGATATTGAAGGAGGGTGGGACACATTCATATCTTGTTTAAGTACGATTACTGTGAGATATTAAAATTGTAGGTATTTTTGACATTTTGAGAGAAAATTCAGACTATTTGAATTATATCAAAATATTCTAGAGTGTCTTAATCCTGACTAAGAAGATTCAAATTTTGAATGTTATTACTTAATGCTTAAATGCTTATTTTGTATAAGTATTTATTTATTATTTAGTGTATAGTCAATTATGTAATTTGTTTTCATGAAAATAACAATTTAAGAACATTTGCTTTATTTCATTTGATGTTTTGTATCTAAATGTTTTAAATTTATTTTATAATCTAATTATACTTTACCCTTATTTTATGAAACAACATTTAGGCACTTAGTTGGTGCAAACAATGCGTTTGTGCCAAGTTTCCAGAAGGAGATAACAAAGTAACTCAAGGTAACAAAGGTTACGGAATGAATAAAATAGAAAATTTTAATTAGTCATTCAAATTGCTGTGAATAATTTGAAACTATTTACTGTGTACAATTTTTTCTCTTCATTACAGTCATTAAATTTATTTTTAGTGACTTATTTATTTCAATGTAGTTGAGCTGTGTTTACACTCAAAACAATTATTAATGTAATGGTCATAGGATACCTTTCTTAAACTTGTGTTATAATAATATTAAGACAAGATGCATACAATAGCAAATTCGAGCATTAGTATTAAAAAAAAAAACTTGTGCCGTCCAAAAGTCACCTGATTCAATACATTCTACATATATATATATATATATATATGTATGTAATAACAGGGCTCCAACCCTGTTATCAGTGTTGTATTTAGCTTGAAATAATTGCAGTCATAAGCCATCAGACATTCTAAACAGGTTTATTTAAATGGAGGCTGATATTGATAACAGTTGACGTCCACACTCCCTACGGGAGGGGAATGGACAAGACTTCAGACAATTCCGGAACAGCTTATCAGGATCACATAATGATGAAAAGGACACGCAAAACTATGCGTTCTTACGTTTTATACCAACACAGATTTGAGGTAAAAAAGCACACTTTGTACATTCCTTGTAACCTTACGCATTAAGGAAAATCATTTCTGCTTCCTTAACTGGAATTGAAAAAGGGAACGATTCTAAAAATAACTCTTCCTTTGAAATATAAATCTATTTATATTTCAATGGTATGTTTTCAGCCTTGAATTCCCAAAATAGAATCTCTCTACGTTTATTCTTTAACAAAGACATTTTATGAAAACTTAAGAGATTTAATTCTTTTATTAATACAAAAGTATTTACTTTTTGTATTACATCCCCCCCAAAAAAAATTTTTGGCGAGCCAAAATAAAAAAAATTTAGAATACTTTAAATTTAAAATTTTTAGGTTGGTACGA